CTCTCTCCCCTCCCCCCCAAGAATGTCCTTTCCGTTTGCTTGTTGTAACAACTTCATGGAAGTATAGTTGTTATATCTTCTTCCCCCCCCCACCCCCCCCCGTAGGTTTAAAGAAAAATGCTGCTGCTAGCAATCTAACCTTTTCATAGGACACCCTTCTGAACCCCTAGCACAGCTGTTTTAAATTTACTTGCAATGCAGAAAACATGATTTGTAGATGAAACACTGAAGTGCCAGGCAGTTACTTACTAGCTGTATAAATAAGTAACTGTAAAAGGGCTAGTTACTAATACTGAAAAAATAAAATGTTTATTGGAAAGTATGGAAAATGCCTGCAACTTACTACATTGTGCTCATTAGTGTTTCTGTAACTAAGGATCAGGTACACCAGGAAATCACAGAGGAGAAACAAATTCAAGGGAGTTTAGAAGCCCAGAGTCATCTGGTGACAAAGCAGTAAACAGGCTACCTAAACAAGGTAAGAAGAATAATCTGCTTGTTACCTTAAACATAGAAGTAGGGAAACAAGGTCAGCATTAGAAGCCAGGGAGAAATACAACTTCTCCTTGCTTGGTGGTTTCATGGTGATACCAAATTCAGTATCACTGCCACAAAAATCTTCTAAACAACTTCACCAAGAGTTAGTAAACATTAATTTATGGTCAAGATGCTGCAGGTATGGCTTGCCTGACACCTCAAATTTCCAACTTGCTCGGCCACAGTGCACCCAAAGAGTTCAATATTTATCAAATCGACATGCAAAAGAAGTAGTCAGCATTTCCTGTATCTCCTAGGCTTTGTAACTTCTCCAGCTTGAGCAAATTTGAAGAGCTGAAGGGGCTCTACCAGCTGTATCTCATGGAAATCCTTCAAGCTCATTTATGATTCTCTTAGGCATCACTTCTCAGTCCATAACAATTCCAGGTGGAAATTTTACTTCCTCAAAAATAACTATCATGTTCTAGTAATTCTTTTTCTCGCAGATTGAGGTGGCGGGGAGTAGATACCCATCAAATATTGAATTCAGGTTCTAAGATTTTTAAATGGAAAACAAATTTTTATACTCTTACCATAATATTCCCTAAACTTGCTGTAGTTACAGAGCCCTTCCAGATATTTCTTTAAGCCTGACAATTAGCCTATGAGATATATGTAATTATTCCTATGATAGAGCCAAGTAACCACACTTCTCAGAGATCTTATAATCATTTTAAGGTATGTTATGTCAACCTCCCACTCCCACCCCTTGCACCCCCACCTGAAACTCCTTGATGGCTCCTCATTGCTTTCCAGACAATGACCAAGTTCTCTACGTGGCTCATAAACTGGACCTGCTACCTCATAACCTTTTTGCTTGCCATTCCCAGCTCATGCCCTAGTCCCCAGCCACACTGACCCACAGGGGCTTGCAGAATACATTTTGTTGCCCCCAGGCCTGGGGCACCATGCACTGTTAGCACGCACTGTTCCGTCTTCCTGGAGCTCCTTTCACTCTACACCTTCCCTCTCCTGGCTGATTTGTCCACATTCAAGTCTCAGCTTAGATTTTTCTTCCTCTAGGAAGCCCTCCCCAATCCCTAAAGATCTGCCTTGCTAGCTGTGAGACTTTAGACACGTTTCATCATCTGTGCCTTTATTTTTTTAGCCATAAAAATGGGGGAATATAGTTCCTACATTATATGCCTGTTTAGGGAACAAATGAGTTATTACACATAAAGCATTCAGAACTATGCCTGACAGTTACCTAATGCTCAGTCAGTACTGTCTATTGTTATTCTATGCATCCCTAGTACCCAATATCACCTGCCTTGTATCACATCTCCCATTGACTTTTCTATCTACTGGAGTCCATACTTACCTAAGGGCTGAGATGGTCTTGTTTATTCTCTACATACTATGGTACCTAGCATGTTACCTTCTCCATAGCAGGTTCAAAATAAATGTTGAGTTGAATCAAAGTGATTTTTTTTTCAATTTTCTGATTACTTATTAGTGTATTTTTATGAATTATTACCAAAATCTATCCCTGGACCAATGTCGCCTAACTTATATGAGGGTACTTCAAAAAGTTTATGGAAAAAACAGAATTAAAATACAAATCTTTCCATGAACTTTTAAAGTATGTATGTATCTACATTGAAAGGTTCCAGGCTCTAGGTAATTACCTGTCAATGGATCATGACATCAGCATGACAAGACATAGGTCAAAGACTACAGCTCTAGCTCTGCAACCGTGTATAGCCTCCCACAAGACTCTTAACTCTGAGCCTCAATTTTCTCACGGTGGGGAGAGGACAAGAGGATCCACCTCACAGGGCTGTTGTGAGGATTAAGTAAGAGAAATAACATGTGGAAATACTATATAAACTAGTCAAATACAGGGTGTTTTTACTCAATGCTGCAAATCTGATATCATTCTACCAGACTGGGAAGTTTCATTTACCCCAGACTAGTTCCAGAAAATGCCTATTCTAGGCCGTCAAAATTATTTTGAATCTAGCAAAAATGCCCTTTTGCCAGTGCTGTAAGAGCCTGGATACTTTGTTCTTTGAATTGGAGCCCTCTTTGGAGGCAGAAGAGAGAACGCGCCAAGCCCAGTCACTTCCTTGTTGTCCTGCCTGCAGAAGAGCTGGTGCCACTAACCTGTAGAGCTGGTGATGGGCACGGAGGCTGCAGTGTTAAGGCTGCTCTGGAGTCCATTCAGCTGCCCTTCTGCAGAGGACCCTCTGAAACACACAGGAGCTTAGTCAGACCTGCGTGCAGAAAGGCAAGGTCAAATACAGGCTCTCCAATGGCTTTGCCCCTGGCTCTTGGTGTTTTTTTTTCATGCGGTTCATTCCCTTGCTTCTTTCAAGACTTTGTTTAGGGCCGGCCCCGTGGCTCACTCAGGAGAGTGTGGCACTGGTAGCGCCAAGGCCGCGGGTTCGGATCCTATATAGGGATGACCAGTGTGCTCACTGGCTGAGTGTGGTGCGGATGACACCTTGCTGAGGGTTGCGATCCCCTTACCAGTCAGAAAAAAAAAGACTTTGTTTAAATGTCATCTTATCAGAGAGGATGTTTACAATGAATCTATACCCTTCATCTACAATATTACTACAGTCATCCCTTGGTATCAGTGGGGGATTAGTTCTAGGACCCCCTGCTGACACCAAAATCCATGGATGCTCAAGTGTCTTACATAAAATGGCATAGTGTTTGTGTATAACCTACACACATCCTCCCATATACTTTAAATGATATCTAGATTACTTATAATACCTAATACAATGTAAAGGTTATGTAAATAGTTATTATACTATACTGGTTTTTTATATGCATCATTTTTATTTATTATTTTTTCCCCCAAATATTTTCAATCCACAGTTGCTTGAATACACAGATGTGGAGCCTATGAATATGGAGGGCCAACTGTATTTTAAAATTTATTGTCCATTTCTCTCCACTGGAATGTAGCTTCAAGAAAGCAAAGGATTTGATCATTGCTGTGTCTCCAGTGCCTAGAACCGTGCCTGGCACATAATAGGCACTCAATAAATAGTTGTTTTTTAAATCAATAAATTAAATTCCTGGTGTTGACTTAGATAAGTCATAAGAAAACACATTTTTTAAAAACTAAGTTTCATGCACAACAGTGATTCTAAAGTGGGGAAGGAAAGAGGGACAGATTTTGCCACCTCCTCCCAACAGGAGACATTTGGCAATGTCAAGACATTTGAGGTTCTACAATTGTGGGGTGATACTGGCAGGTAGTGGGTAGAGGTCAGGAATGCTGCTAAGCATCCATCCTACAGTACACAGGGAAATGCCCCAAAACAAAGAATTACCTAGTCCAAGATGTCAATAGTGCTGAAGGTAAGAAACCATTTTATAGCACCTCCCCTTATGCCAACTTTGATAAGAGACAGGACAGAGTATTCTTTGGGCAGAGTTTTCTCAGCTATATGTCTTAGGAATTCTGGGACTAGTCTGATGCCCTTCAGATCATGTCAACTTTCCCTGTTACAGGCTCTTACAGCTCTCTGTAATTATTTCATTGCATTTATCAAATCATAATTATGAAACTGTGGATCTAGTTGTTTAAAATCTGTCATCCTGGGCCGACCCCATGGCGCACTCGGGAGAGTGCGGCGCTGGGAGCGCAGCAGCGCTCCCGCCGCGGGTTCGGATCCTATATAGGGATGGCCGGTTCGCTCACTGGCTGAGCGTGGTGCGGCCAGTCACAAAAAAAAGACAAAAAAAAAAAAATCTGTCATCCTTGCTAGAATGTAAACTCCATAAACATAGAGACTGTATCAGTCTCATTCACTGTTGTATCCCCTTGAACAACACAGGTTTGGAATGCATGGGTCCACTTATGTGGATTTTCTTCAATAAATATATGTACAATACTGTACATTTATTTTCTCTTCCTTATGATTTTCTTAAGAATACTTTTTTCCTCTAGCTTTATTGTAAGAATATAGTATGTAATATGAGGAGTCTTCAAAAGTTCATGGAAAGATTTGTATTAACTTTTAGTTCTATTTTCCCATGAACTTTTTTAAGTACCCTTATACATATCACATACAAAATATGTGTTGGTTGACTGTTTATGTTATCAATAAGGCATTTGGTCAACAGTAGGCTATTAGTAATTTGGGGGGGAGTCAAAAGTTATATTCCAGTTTTCGACTGCATGACTGCAGGGGCATGGTGGGGGTTGGCCCTCCTAACCCTTGTGTTGTTCAAAGTTCGATGGTGTTTGTAAATAGTCTAGTAGTTGCTGGGAAATTTCATTTGTGTATGTAATAAAAGGATAGTGTTATTGATTATTTAATAGTTTTTCATTGTTAATCTACATTCTTGATATCTATATCTTAGGCTGTGTTCAGAAATATCAAATAGATCATGATAAACCTGGAAAAAGCTGGAAAGGACTTTATATATTATTTGGTTTAACTTCTTATATCTGTTCCTAAACTTATTCTGTCTTAATATTGCTGTTCCTAAATTTTTAAAAATTTTTTTATTTTTATTGAATCAAAATTGATTATACATATTTTGGGGGTTCAACATCGAGATATGTTGATGAAATCAATATTACTAGAATATATATTGTTACAAATCATAATTATTTTTTTTTTTTTTTTTTAAGATGTCTGGTAAGGGGATCTTAACTCTTGGCTTGGTGTTGTTAGCACCATGCTCAACCAGTGAGCTAACCGGCCATCCCTATATAGGATCTGAACCTGTGGCCTTGGTGTTATCAGCACCACACTCTCCCAAGTGAGCCATGGGGCCAGCCCTTAATAAATACTTCTTGAACAAATCTGACCCATTGCACCCATAAGTACATTTACTTGTTGGGCTCATCTACTTTGATTTTAGTTGATGTGTAAAAATTTTACCTGGGAGATTAAAGCTTTCATATACTGTTCTTTTTTCTTTTGTTGTGGCTGCTGAACAACAACCAATCCAACTATTAGTACCCCACTCCCAATACCATTTTTTTTCATTCATTTGTTAACACAAAAATATTTTTTAAGCATTCCTTGTGTTCAGCACTTGGGGTGAAAGAGACATTAAAGCAAATACGTAAGACACAAACTGTGTGACAAATGCTAAGGAGAAAAAGCACATGGTGCTATATGAGAGAACGACACTGGGGAAGGTGATTTTGATGGTAAGGAGAGTGCCCAAGAATGGTCTTTCTGATTTCAGTTGAGTCATGAAGTTACGAGAAGTAGGCATTAGCCATGAGTAGGGAGCAGAAAAGAGCTTTTCATGAAAAAAACAGCATATATAATGATTCTGAGGCAGAAAGGGGCTTAGAATGTCCTAACAACCTTTAAAGACCAGCAGAGAGGGTGGGATGGGGTTGGGCAGAGGCAGGCAGTGAAGTTTGCCAAACTTCCTTGACAGGAATCACCTGAGGTCACTTGTTTATTATACAGCTTTCCAGGCCCTTCCTTTGGAGACACTGACTCAATGGGTCTGGAATAGGGCATGAGAACTTAGGCTTTTTATAGCACCCTAGGTGCCCAGGTGATCATATCACCACAGAAGTCAGGAAAACATTGGATAGTTGGTAAAGAATAAGGTGGTATTAGGCGCACTTGCAGAGCTGGACAGAGGTTTAGGTGCCCAGGTAGTCCCTACACACCTGAAAGAGACATGCCCCTTGAGAAGACACAGCCTGGCAAGCAAGCAAAGATCATGTTGTCTTATAGCCCTTTCCCTCTGGCAAGCTGCAATTTGAACCCTGCCCTCTCCTTTCTACTTTCGTTTTGAGGATGAGAGAACCATAGAGGCAGAAGGAGAGAAAGGAGCAGAGGGCTTCTCCCTTTTCCCCACAAGCCTCAGCTATGGATAGCTACATCTTAAATGCTTATGCATTTAATTTCAGCCCCTTATGGATCTAAAAACCTACCCAGAACATCTACAGGCTGATATTTGCTCTTCTAGATCCAAGTGAAAAAGGAAAACTTCTGGAGGACCTAGGATAGGCTCTTTCCCTGACAGAAGTTAAAAACCTTTAGGGTCACTGTGCTTGCTTGGGAGCGCCATGTGGAGAAAAGCCACAGGGCTGGTCTCAGTTTCACAGAGGAAGCCCTGAGTGTTAGTGGTCAAAAGGGGAACAGGCAGACAAGACCTTTGAGTCAGTAGAAGGAACAGAGGTGATGAACAGGGAGCTAACTGAAGGATTAGAGGGGCCTGAGGGGTTAGATCTAATGAGTTCTGGGTTCCTCAAACTCTCTAACCTTCTTTCTCTCATCTTGGGAACTCCCCCTGTTCCTCACCCAAGATCTCCTGACGCTCTAGCCCCTTGTGCACAGTTCCACTCATTCTTCCATCTTCCTTCCTCCCATCAAAGGCCTTGGGAGCCACCACTGATTTGGAATTTGAACATTTCTAATGACTCTACTGTTTCTAGCATAGGGTACCCATTCCCCCTGTGATGCAGAAATGCATCCATAGCAATCCAAAGGGAAACTCTTGAGTGGATTTTTCCACGGAAACACTGGAATACAAAGTGCTTTACATCTGTTATTACTACTTCAGGCACATTATGGGTAAATACACTTTTGTTGTGATAACATCATTTCCTTGGGAAAATACTTCTGGACAACCCACTTCTAAGTAAGAACTTTTGAAACACAGCTGTCTAGAGCCTGTATGTTAATTTGCACTTGCCCCTGCAATGATTCTTTGCTGCTTTCCTGGGAATACCTGTATTTTAGGAAATATTTATGTAGGGAGGTATGTATATGCTCCCTTGGTTGTCTTAAAGTCAATTACTATGCTTTAACAACAGGCTAACAGGACCTCCCTCATAGGGTTTTGAGGATTAAATAAAATGGTGAATGTAAAGCATATCCTAGCACAATGACTGGTGTTATAATTAAAGACTAAATAAACATGAACTATTATTAGTATTGCCATTTTTACTTAGGAATATTGATTAATACTCTTTGTGTTCATTATAAGCCTATTTACATACAGAAGAACCAAATTGGATGACTCACTGACTCCAATATCAGTATGGAATATTAGTGATAAACTTGAGAATGACCACAGACATTCAGAACCTGAAAGTTAAATTTCAATTTGCCATTAAAGTCAAAAAGTAACTGGCAACCTACAAGGCAGAAATCTCACAGTTAAAATTACTCTTAAGATTCCTCAGGAAGAAAGGTCTCATTTGAGATGGACAAACTATCTCTTAATTAAATCTAACATATAT